TTTTTAGTGTATCAGTTTTTGCTTTGTATATAAAGATTTTTATTACATTTATTTATGTGCATGTATGTCTATGTGTTCATACATTCATGTGTGAACACTTGTGCATCATGATATGCATATGGAAGTCAGAGGACAACTTGCAGGAGTTGGTTCTCTCCTTCTACCATGTGGGTCCCAGAGATCAAACTCAGGTTGTCAGGCTTGACAGGTGTCTTTATCCTCTGAGCCATCTTGCCAACCCTATTTCATGTATTTTATAACTATATTGTTTTGTAATGACCATTCAGGATTGCTAGTCTTATATTCACATTTTATACAGATGTTTTCTATTTTAGATTTTTTCTTGATAAAAATCTATGTTCTTTTAATAGTATTGTGTGTTGGTTAGTTTTTGTGAACTTGACACAAACTGGAGACACCTAGGAAGAGGGAACCTTAATTGAGTGTATTAGTCACGTTTGTGTTGCTGTGATAGAAACACTGACCCAAGCAATTTATAGAAGGAAGAGTTTATTTGAGCTTATGGTTCCAGGGGAATTACAGTTCATCATGGCAGGGAGGCATGGTGGCTGAAGGTAGCTGGAGCAGGAGCAGCAGAAGCTAAGTACTCATATCATCACGCAGGCACAGGAAGCAAGAGAGTGACTGGTGATCTGGCAAGGCTTAAGAACTCTCTAAACCCACCCCCAGTGACATGCTTCCTCCAGGCTAGCCACACCTTCTAAAACCTCCCAAAACAGCACCACCATCTGGGGACAGAATGTCCAAATACTTGGAGCCTATGGGGGACATTTTCATTCAAACCATCACGTCGAGGAATTTTCTTCATCTGATTGGCCTTGTCCTCGAGGAATTACCTTAATTGTCGATTGATGCAGGTGGTTCCAACCCACTGTTGGTGGTGCCATCCCTGGGCAGGTGGGTCTGGGCTGTATGAGAAAGATAACTGAGCACAGGCCAGGGGGAGCAAGCCAGTAAGCAGTGTTCCTCCAAGGTCTCTGCTTCAGTGTCTGCCTCCAGGTTCTTGACTTGAGTTCCTGCTTAACTTTCCTCAAAGATGGACTGTACCTTAGAAGTGTAAGATGTAATAAACCCTTTCCTTCCCCCCATTGGTTTTGGTCAGTGTTTTATCACAGTAACAGAAACCAAGTACACCATATTTCCATGCTTAGTTTTGTTTAATATTTGCATAAAAATAATTTTCTGTCCTTTTTCTTTTAACCTACTTATTATACTTAAAATGGGTTGCTTATAGGAAGCATAGGTTTGGTCACTTTTATCTACTCTGGTAATCTTTTAATTGTTCTTTACAGATAATTCAGTGCAATTATTTTTTAATATTTTTGATTGATTTTTATTTTATGTGTATGAGAGTTTTGCCTTCATGTATGTAAGTGTACCCATGTGTGCCATACCTATGGAGGCCAGAAGAGGGTGTCAAATCCCCTGGAACTGGAGTTATAGACAGGTATTAGCTACCATGTGGGTACTGAGAACCCAACCCAGGTCCTCTGTTGAGCAGCCATTGCTTTTAACTGCTGAGCCATCTCTCCAGTTTCTGTGTTACTTCTTAAGTGTCCCGTTTGTCTTTCATTTTCTATTTATCCTCCAGCCTTTTATTTGTTTTCTTTTTTTCTGCCTTCAGATTAGTTATAGGAACCTGCTTTAGATTTCCATTTTGGTTTAACTATTGTATCTATTAGTTTTATCTCTTCAGATAATTTTTAGGACTTGTTAAGCTATTATCCTGGGAAGATAAGAGTCAGGATGAAACCCCTAGTTACACCCTACCCTGGACAGACTTCTGGGCTCTTTGCTTCTTTGTAGGATGAATACAGAGCCATTTCATGGCATTCAGCTGCAGTTATTCTCTGAAACCTTTCTGTATTGCTAGATTGCTGCTCTCTGGTCTGTGAGTAAAGCCAACAAGGTTTTCTTGATTCTCTTCCCATGAATGCTCATTAATATTTTGGCGCTGTCAGCCTTTTCATTGTCTGGATTATTTTAGGTGAAAAGAACATCCTAGGAACTTACCACCTGTGGGCTCCTTGGATACCATGTTGCTAAGAAGCCTGCCTTCTTTGTGCTTTGCTCAGTGTTCCTGTGTTTGTGACTGGAGGGTGGGGGACACTTGGTGAGAGGTGATTTATTGTACTTAGCAGGATATATAGGGAAAAGGGATTCTTCTTTTTGTTAATAGGGGTTACAGCTACATAAATATCATGTGAAATCCATAGGCTGTGTCTAGAACATCATATTTATCCAACAAATGTTAGCACTTATTATCTTATCTATAGGCAGGAGCATCATGAATTCAAAGCCAGCCTAGTCTGCATGGCTAAGACCCTGTCTCAAAAAAGATTTTAAATTATTGTAGTAACTTGATCAGTGCCTTTTGAGAAAATCTTGTGAATCCTAACCACTTTCTAAGCTTTCAATTGATGTTAAAATCAAGGATCAGAATGCTCTAGAAAATATGTACTATGAAATAGAGCATGTTTCTATGAATTTTGTGTTCTTGGGCCTGCTGTTCAATCTGAGCTTCAGCTTGCTGTTCTGAAGATGGTGTTATAAATAATTTTTTTTAAACTTTATTATTTTTATTTTGTATGTATGTGTGTATTGCCTGCATGCAGGGAAGTGCACCTGTGTTGTGCAATGCCCGCATTGGTCAGAAGAGGCTGTTGGATCCCCTGGGACTGGAGTTATGGACAGTTGTTAGCTGTAATGTGGGTGCTGGGATTCAAACCCGGGTCTTCTGCAGGAACAACCAGTGTTCTTAACTGCTGAGCCATCTCTCCAGCCCCATGAATACTAACCTTAAAGGATTATTATGTGCCCGAATGGGAGAATGGAATAACCATACAGATTATCATAAATCCTGGTACTTTCAGGGTTTTTATATCACTGAACTACAAAAGTTCTAACCATTTAGGTCTATCAATGTTAACCTATTAGACAAAAAGGAAGTTTTACATACAGTATTATTCAGTTTATTGTTATAAATATGCAAAAATTTTGCCTTGAGATATGGATATAAATGCTGAATTTATACCATTATTATTGTGCAAATCTCCCTCCAACCTACCCTCTGTCCTCAGTTTACTAACATATTCAAATTGCTCCCATCCAAAGTACAAAAGAATAGAATTTCTAGGTACCTCCATGCTCTTCTAACCATGACCCTACCTTGATAAATTTCTTAAAAAGAAAAAGTTAGGGTCTAGGGAGATGACACAGTGGGTAAAGCACTTGCCATGCAAGCATGAAAGCATGAATTTGCATCCCCATGACTCATGTGAAGTGCACACAACTGTAATCCCAACACTCCCAAGCAGAGATGGGAGGCAGAGACTGGAGAATCTCTAGAGGCTCAAAGACCAGCTAGCTTGGTCTACACAGTAGTAAACAAGAGATTGTCTTGAACAAGGTAAAAGGTGGGGACAGATATGCAGGTTGCCCTCTGACCTCCACATGTACTGTGGAATGTGTGATCCTCACCAGTGAATGTCTGTACATGCTGGCATACTACCAACATCAACAAAAGAATAATTTGTACAAATTGTGCCCTCTCATCTTTTTAAACCCATTTCAATGCTTTCTCCAGGGATATGTACTCTGCAGTCTTATTCGCTACATCTTGGCATGTTGTGGCCTTCTGTGTGTATTGTACTCTGTTGTGTGAGGAAGCTTCACTGGTAAGAGTTGAGAGATGGATTAGTATGCTGTCCCCCCTGTTCTGCTCTGTTCCATGAGCCTTAGGTGTAGCGGTTCCACTGTAGATGTGTCACTTAGGATGGGCATCTCTCAGACACGTATTCTCAGTGTGTGACCAGTTCTGGCACTCTGTATTGGGCTCCATCTATTGTACAACAGAAGCTTTTTTGATGACTGGTGACTGGTATACTTATCTCTAAATATAAGAATCCATATTTATTATACAGCAAGAAATTTCATTTGTCTAGGGATTTGACAGATATGACAGAAATAGGGTTTTCTCTAGGATCTGTCACCTCTCCAGCTCTGTGTATTTGGCTGTTGTTACAGTGTCACACATGAGTTTCCTCCCATTTAGAGGACTTTAAGTACAATTAGACAGCTGTTGATTACCCCCAAAATAAAAGTGCCACTGCTGCACAGCTATAGTTTGCCGTGCCAGTCATTGTTGTGATTACTAGGCTTTGAAGCTGGGGTTGAACCTATTCTTCTCTTAAACCAATTCTCCTGTGAAAGTCTAATCCTGGAAGATAAGATAGTCTGTGCTCCACCATCAACTTTTTTAAAATTTAAGTGTGTGTTAGCATTTTTGCTTTCTTTAAGAAATTACATGATTAACTTTTCAGTGCTTCCCTTCTACAAGAAGAATATGTCTGGAGGGGCACAGGGATGTGGAGGGTGCACTGCTATAGCACTGAGACAGGAGCCCACCCCCTGAGAACGGAGAGGAGCTAGGCAGTTAGACAACATGTGAACCTTGCTTTTTAACACAGTAATATATCCAGTAGAGCCAGGCCTTAATACTCTACTGTTTAATTCCAGTGAGCTCAGTATTTATGAAAACATCAAAAGTGTTTATCATAAAATCCCACGAAAACAAATGTTTAGAACTAGATTTGCCATCATAATGGCTATTCGTGAACATTTTTTGTAATCTGACACCAAAAGGGAAAATTTTTGAAATTTATTTTATTTGTTATTGTGAGAGTATATGTGTGTGTGTGTGTGTGTGTGTGTGTGTGTGTGTGTGTGTACCCTTACATATGTGCATGTATGATATATTTGGTTGTGCATGCTATAGTGGATGTCAGATGTCAGAGGACAACTATGTAGAGTCAGTTCTCTCCTTCAACCTTTACGTGGGTTCTGGGGAACTCAGGTTACCAGGCCTATGTGGCAGAGTCTTTACCTGCTGAGCCGTCTTGCCGGCCCCGAGAGGGAAAATGAAGTCTGAAAATTTCATTACATGTCTACTACACTAGTGATTTCTTTTTTCATTCCAGTTCTAAGAACAGATGAAATTGGCTATGGATAATTCATATGATTTCAATGAACGAAGCTCATGGAATGGAATTTCATCTGAGAAGAAAAAAAATTTCCTTGTATCAGAAGATCATGGACAGAAAATCTTAACTGTTCTACAGAATTTTAGAGAACAGAATGCCTTTTACGATTTCAAAATAATCATGAAAGATGAGATAATCCCATGTCATCGCTGTGTGTTAGCAGCATGCAGTGACTTTTTCAGGTACTCTGCTTTGTCTGTTCTTTAGATTTTATACTTTGGATAATTAAGTTGCACTTATAACTACACTTACTTTTTTCTCCACAGGAACATACAGTAGTATTTTTAGTTCTTGATGAAAACCTTATTAGAACTAGATTTACTGATTTTACTTATTTTTATTTTATGAGTGCATTTTGCCTGCATGTTTGTAAGTACATCACATGTCTACAATGTCCTTGGAGGCCAGAATAGGGAGTCAGAGCCCCTGGAACTGGAGTTATATACAGTTGTTAGCCACCGTGTGGATGCTGAGAAACCCCAGGGGGTCTGTAGGAGCTGCCAGTGTTCTTACCTGCTGAGCCATCTCTCCAGCCCCTATTGATGGTTATTGACTAGGAGAAATTGGACTACCATTGTGAAAGCCTGGGTCTTCCCAGGGTAGCACTTCCTCATGTTCTTTATGATATTAATCTTTTGAAATTTTCTATAGCATTTTTTTTGTTTTTGTTTTTGTTTTTCCATTTGGGATCAGCTTTGTTTGAGGGAATTTCTGAACTGTATCATTTTAGAAAAAGTTTTAGGGACACAAATTTGATTCCATATGTCTTAATATATATAACGGAGTACATGAAACTGGGTTGAAGGTATTAAGGGGGGGATGCATAGAGAGAAGAGTGTCTAAAAATATACTGCATAAAATTTACAAATGAACAAAAATGGAAGCTGAGTTCAAATAAAGTGACTGAGAGGAAACTAAATTTCATTTGTGTCCTTGTGTCATCCAGGGAGAGGGGCTCTGACTCAGAAGGCTTAAAGATTTCTCCTACCAGGCTTGGTGACTCATGCCTATAATATCTCAGCACTTAGGAGGCTGAGACAGGGAGATTACCATGAGTTCAAGGCCAGCCTGAGCTACTACATAGTGAGTTTAAGGCCATTTTGGGCTGTAGAGTGAGACCCTGTCTTAAAAAAAAAAAAAAACCAACAACAATAGATCTTAAAAACTCTTCTCTTTGGCAACAGCATTCCTATAGAGGGAAAAGCACTTTTAGGTAAAAAGCATTTCTTTTGTTTAATATTTTATTATTTTTATTTTATGTGTACGAGTGTTATGCCTACATGTAAGTAAGTGCACCCATGTCATGCAGTGTCTGCAGAGGACTGAAGAGGTTATTGGATCCCCTGGAACTGGAGTTACGGACAGTTGTTAGCGGCCATGTGTGTGGGTGCTGGGATTCAAACCTGGGTCTTCTGCAAGAACAGTCAGTGTTCTTAACTGCTGAGCCATCTCTCAAGGCCTGGTAAAAAGCATTTCTTTAGAGCACTCAAATTGTTCTGATTGGTCTTCTAAATATGATTTGGTTTCCCACATAGTCACCATAAGGGAATACCCTAGTTATGTCTCTGCTAGGATCCCTTATGATGATGATGAGTTTCTGATTCTGTAAGATTAAAGGTCAGGTACATTACCACACTGCTGTAGTAGCCATCTCAAGGTAATATATACTGTACTGCCCCTTGGTCAATAGGGAAGCAAGTCTTTCTTGGTGACACCCTGGCCATCAGCCTTCCTAGTCATACTGCAATAAATGCAAATCTTAATTTAAGTTTGCATTATGTCCAACTTTAGAAGAAAAATGAATAAGGTTTAAATCTCTAAAAAAATTGCTAAAAACAGTAAGATTTAATCTATGAAGCAATGAAATTTATACTACTTTTACAACTTTTATTTATGTTGGGGGCCAAACCTAATGCCTTGCACTGTTCTATTTTTAATCCTTAATTTAAAAACTACTTTTAATGACTAACTAGAGCCTTCTCTTATTGCCCTTAGGGTAACTTTTTTGAGCTAGAGTTCGTGTAGCAAACAGTTTTTCCTATCTGCTGCTTGCTGAACACCTGTCTCTGTGGAGCTTTTCTTTAAATTTGGAGCTCATACCGTACAGTGTACTTGGGACAGGAGGCTTCAAGCAGTCTAGAGCTAGCCATTTGCTTACTTAAACTATAACTCTTCATCAGTACTTTTTGTTTCTTTCATATGTGCTGAGGTGCTTGAACTCCATTGGGAGCTTCAGTGTTAGGAGATATAATCAACAGTGAATCTCCAAGAGCCATTAGGTTTCTTAACTGGCTATACAGGACTATTATAAGAGAAAGATTGGGTAGGTTCTAAAATACCTCCCTTAAGTCATTTCTCGATAGTTTTAGTAATTTCAACATCTCCTCCCTTCAAAGGGTATTGCTTAGTAAAAGATGGTTTACAAGCAGGTAGTTCCACAGGTGGGATTTTTACCAAGGTCAAGCAAACAGACAGGAGCTTAATTCTCTTAATCATGTACCAATAAGGGAATCATTTAGGAATCATACCCATGCTTAAAATATTATATGGTGCAGTGCTAAACACAGCACAACATGGATTACATTTGTCATATACACAAAATTCAAGTTTCTCAACAAATGCTGTAACAGGTACTCCTGCAACTTCTATTAACATTAGTTTCCTCTTAGGTTTAGCAGGGAGTGAGGAGCAAGTTGTCACCTCACTGCCAGAGTCAGTCAACCAAGTTAGTTGATTAGTTTTCCCTCTCACCTTGATTGTGAGGACAAAGGTCCTCTGTCTGGGGAGGATTTGTGGTCTTCCTTGGGGCTTGTAGCCCATCAGGCACCTTATGGGATTCCAAGGTCTGTTTCTTGGTCCCATTCCCCTGATTTCTTTGGAAATATCCCCTTGGTTGGTTTCCCATGGGGACTCTGGCAGCTGTCTCCATTCCCAAGTCTTATTTTTTTATGGCAGGAGGAAAGTTCATCCTCCTGAAGCCATTTCCTAAAAAACACTTCCTAGACAGCTGTTTTCTTACTTATAATTACACCACCTTTTCTGACTCTAGCTCCCTTACTTGTTGAGAAAGCTAATAGTGTTGCCAATTGTGTTGCAGTTTGAAAGGGATGAGGTTAGAGTCATTCTGAGTTGCACTGGAGCACCCTTGATTAAAACCTTACGCACCCCAGGTAACATGGGATATGCTTGGAGGGTCAAGGAATTGTGATATACAAGATAAAATATCCCCATCTTCTTTGCCAATTCTGTAGCTTTTCTCATATTTTTCCATTGACCTTCTGCCTCGAAGGCAGCTAAATCCAGTGTGGGAAAATCTGTTCTCCATGCTGCTGTCAGCCAGTCTAGAAGGGGGTAGGTTTCTCTCCTATGGTTGTCTATGATAGCTTCAAGGCTATCATGAATGTGCACATTTTCTACTATTCCTCTAATATTTCTCATTTCTTCTGATGTGGGCATTACTGTATCAGCACTTTTCTCCCAGAGCTTTGCTATATAGGATGCATCCTTTTCTCCTTTCTGAGCAAAATCTTGTCTTAACTGCTGCAGCTCATTTCTAGTAAATGGGTATGTCTCAATTTCTGTAGTTATTATAGGATTCTGTGGGTTGACTCTGGATGGTGTGTTTTTGATTTTGTCGGCAGTGACCTGAGACTGGGGGAACTCAATAGGGCCCTCATTATTCTCCTCCAGAGCATCGTGGAGATGGTTATTCCTCCATCTCTTGGTTACCGTCATAGCCAGTTATTTACCTCTAATTATATCAGTCAGTGTCTGAAATAATTTTACACAAGAATCCTGGTACTTCTTGTAGACTTGTCCTCTCCAAAAGAGGTTCCACTTCTACTGAATTAGCCAGTGGTATTTGTACCTTAGGTGCTTTAGTTAGCCTAGGCAATTTCTCCTTTACTAGCTCACATGTTCTTTTCCATTGATCACTGTCTGTGACATCCTTGTAGTCAGCTATGTTGGCTCACCTGAACCTTTTCAATAGAGATTTCATGATACACAGACAGCTGCCAATGTGTATAGGAACCTAATTTCCTTTTTCCTAGAATACTACTTAAGTCAGCGTATGTCCTTTTCATGAGTCAATTGTTCCAATTTTCAATTAGCCCTTTGGACAAGCCTTTTAGCTATTCAGTCCCTCATGAAACCAGGTCCAGCACACTCCTGCTACCCACTCTTAGGGCATAGTGGTCCATGACATTGTAGGAGCTAACCCTGGATCCCAGGGTTCCACCCTGAGTCCAGTAGATGAGTTCAGAGGGCAGCTGTCTCCCACTACCTCGTCTTAGGACTCCCAAGGAGGTCCATGCCTTTGTGGGAGGATGCCCTGCCAATCTTAGAGAGAGTCTGGGGATACTCAGGCTAGGTCCTTCTTAGTCCACCAAATAGATTTAAGTAAATTTTAAACTTTAAGGTATTTCTTAATCTTAAGTAAGCCAATTAGGAGCTGAGCTAAGATTATAATCAAGATCCTGCTGATTACACCAACTGTCATGAGCATAGATCAGATGGACAAGGAGGATATAATATGTTTATTTAATGTGATCACACAACACACATCATATTCAATAAAGTACTTCTGTCCTAAGCTTATCTCCCCAAGGCTGCTTACTATGTGACATATTTGAGTCTGAGGTCCGTCATCCTCCTTTCGGGCTGCTGTCTGAGTCCAGGCCCAGGAGGCAATGCAGGAATGCCTGGGACAGGGGGAAGACTCTCCAACTGGAGGGCAACCAGGTGTCAGTCTCAGGAACTTTGAAGGTCAAGCAGAATCCTTTTTGTTCTTGCTCTTCTTATACTGTGGTCTGACATCATCACACAGTGGTGTCGTTTGACTGATAAGGCGCACAGCTGACTTGGGGATTTCCGTCACATATCTTACTTTGCCAGAAGCCTTGGAGTGTACTGGGGTTTTCTAAGCTTACTATTCTAGGTTACATTTTATGATTTATTTAGTTTTATTTTATGAATTACAGGGATTAAAATTTATGCTTTTCATTCCATCTATGCATATAACATTTGTGCTCCTAAAATTTCAGTATGCCAACAATTCCACCTCCAAATTGGAGTGCAAGCTTATAGCCAGTTACATATTGTGGTGGAAGACCATCCCTGCACCATATGGCATGTCCTGCCCACCATCTTTATTTCAGGACCACCCTGAATTGAATGGCCC